CTTTATTTACCTCTACATCCATAGTGAGCAATTTTTTATTATTGTTGTTTTTGTATGATTGCCAACTTAAGAATAATATAAATGTTTATAAGCTGTTTCCTCCCATATGAAATAAAGGTATGTTCTCCCCAATACATCGAGCTCTACTCGAGCCTGCTCTTCATTATCCCAGGAACCTTCTCACTGCCCTTCCCGCCCCAGCCTCTCCCCCATCTCACCCTTTACATATCTACCAGAGTTTTCTTCCTAAACACAGTCCTATTGTGCCACTTCCCTGCTTGAAAACCTCTGACACCTCCCTAGCATTCACAGTCATTGCAGACCTTGCTGCCATCCAGTTCTCCAGTCCCATTTCCTCTTGTCCTCCACCATTACCCCCCCACTTGTCCACTTGGCCCCTACCGCAGCCCCCACTGCCACCCCGTGCATTGTGCTCCTCCACTGGACTGCTCGCCGTTCTCCGAACACGCTCAGCATTTTCCCATCTCTGTGCCTATGTTCACCATGTCCCTCCATGCAAAACGTTCTCGCCCCATGTTCCCACCTTCACATTCCTACCTGCAACTTCTCACGCACACATGCTCATCCATTCTATGATGGTTATTATTATTTTAATTCTAGTGTTTGTTTTTATTTGGGGTGAGGGGAGGAGGAAGGAGGGATATACGGGGTAAGAGAAAAGGGCTGGAGAACAGGTGATCTTTTTGTTTTTATTTTTTCTCAAAGAAGAAGTACTGTCATTTTGATGGCAGGTTCACCTGAAGGATAAATCTTGAGTTTGTAACAGCATCAAGGACTATTCTATCAAATTTCAAAATGAGAAGACCTTTTCTTTTGACAGATAATGTGCACTGGCATTAGGTGTGGGTGTGCAGGCCAAGATGAACACATGTGGCTCCAGTGGCCACAGACTCCTCTAGGGTCATTGGCAGTGGGCTTGGTGTGAGCACAGGGCTTATCGTGGGCCAGCAAGTGGATGCTTGTAGGAGAAGAGCAGGAAAAGCAGGTGAGGGACATGGGCAGGTGAGGGCCAGGGAGTCCATCAGGGGAGCAACCCTTCAAGAAGGAACTGAAGAGTACAGACTCGGATGAAGAAGGAAATAAAAGACAAGCTGATAAGAAGTAAGGACTGATGGTGGAGGCGAGAAGGGGAATTGCTGAAAGCAGTAAAGCATCTTTCAATAAAACTGCCCCTTTCCAGATGGCACCGTGGATGACACATGGCACAGTTTGCCAGGAGGCTATAGCCTAAAACAATAAAGAGCAATAAGAAAAAGTTACTTCAGCAGTTCCTAAGACACTTCCTCCCCCATGCACTACACTAGACACAGAGCTTAGAACCCAGAGCCCAAGCGGCTGCAACACACCCACGGTGACAACAAGGGCTGTCTCTGTGCAGGGCACATCTCGCCCTCCTACTTACTGCACATTCTTCGAGCCAGGTCTCCTTTGGAACCACCAGCAGTGGCGGGCAGCAATTCCTACAGGGAGGTGGCTGGTTAGTGACCCTCCCCCTCCCCTTTCCTTGGATGGGATGGTTTCCTTCCCATCCAAGACAGAATTTGGGATGATTTCCTTTGTTTCTTACTTAAAAACAAAAGGCCAGCATATAATGGCTCACAACAACATTTTTCTAGAAGCAGCTCTGCGGATTTAAGACACTGTCCTTTTTTCCAGAGGCTGCCCAGGCTGCTTTAGAACTACAGGCAGCCCTGTACCCACCCTCACCTGGGACGCTGCCCTGGCGGCCTGCAAAGACGAGTGAGACTGACTCCTGCTGCTTAGCTCAGGTCCCTCCATCCCAACAACCTGGGTCTGCTGCTAGGAGTGAAGAGAAGGAGCAAAAGGAAAAACTCCCAATGGCATTACATAGGGATCACTCGCCCTTGCTGCAGACTAGACCAAACAAGTGTCTGTGTACTCCGGTCACTATGTGGTTTAGTGATGAGTGGTGTGGGAGGTGGAGACAGTGATCCAGAGGAGAAACAGCAGGCTCTGGCATAGGAGGAAAGGAAAATGACAGATTACGGAAGGCTTCGAGGAAAGGAAGTGAGCGGGAACACACAGCTGCCTGAGGGGTGGGAGTGGAAGCAGAACATGCCCATGTGACCTGTAGTGATCAGCTCAGCCACCCGGCCAATCCGGAAAACGCCAGTGACTCTGTCTCCATGATTTACCTCTGGTGCCTAGCAGTCAGTGAACCCCCTGGCTTTAGGAAAACTCAGGACAAGAATTCTGTGTAATTCTTAGACCAAAACATCACCAACCTCATGGCCCCATAAGGCCAGGGGCTGGACCCAACCAGGACACCAAGCTGCCTACTGCTCTGCTCACCCCACTGCTTCCAAGGCAGGAGGTGAACACCAGAGTGTTCATTCCTTTCTGCAAATAACCTCAGAGCTTAACCAGCCAAGAGGGAGCGGCATGGGGGTGGGGGATGCGCTCTTAAGAATCTTCTCTTATATGGTGGTTAATTTTAATGTATCAACTTGGCTAGGGCATGGTACACAGACATTTGGTCAAACACCATTCTAGGTGTCGCCATGAGGGTATTTTTAGATAGGACTAAACTTTAAATCAGTAGACTTTGAATACATCAGATTACCCTCCATGCTGTGGGTGGGCCTCATGCAATTGGTTGATGGCCTTAAGAGAAAAAGACTGAGGTCCCCTGAGGAAGAGGGAATTCTGCCTCCAGACTCTTTCAGACTCAGGACTGCAACATCAACTCTTCCCTGGGTCTCCAACCTGTCAATTTGCTCTAAAGATTTTGGAGTTGCTAGCCCCACTATCACGTGAGCCTATTCCTTAAATAAATGAATACATCTATGTACCTACCTGACTACACACACACACACACACACACACACACACACACACATCCTATTAGTCCTGTTTCTCTGGGGAACCCTGACTAATACGGTCTCAGCTCTGTGCTCCCATAACCGTCTTTCTATCTCTATCGTTGCCCGTCTTCTATAATATGTAATCAGTCACAGGTCAGTTTCCTCCATGGATACACCTACTGAGTGCAGAGACAGTTTCTCCTCATCTGCACCTCTCCACGGAGCCCAGTGCCTCTTAAAAGGTCCTGCTCCTCCAAGAAAGGAGATGTCCCAAAGCAGAGGCAGAAGAAATAGAGAAATGGAGAGTTTGAACAGCGTCAAAGGAGAGGAGCCAACATAGAAAGGAAAAACCAGTGCCAGGGGTTACAAACTCAGGTTCCTCCAGGGCCGGACAAGTCATGTGGAGGGAGGATAGCTCAAAAGAGCAGCCGGGGTGGGATGTGAGCTAGAGGCTCCCATGCAGGGCTAATGCGTTATTTCCCTATGGGAATGCAAGCCAGTGGGGCCAGGTTTTCCAAGAGAGACTGGAAATGCAGATTTTTGTGTGAAAGGTCCCAATTTTTAACTGTTGACAGTTAACTCAGGTTCTTTCAATGCATCATGTGTGTCTAGAAGGCTTCAGGACTACTGGTACTGTTGTTTTTCAAGCTGGGTTGGTGGATACATGAGTGTTTGTTTTTTCTGTATTTTTCTTGCCTTACAGAAATGTTATAAATATTCTTTCATATGGATTCAGAATTAAGTTGAAAAATCTTTAAACCCTTTATGTGAGTTAAATTTTACTGGCCGACTACCCATTTGCATCCTCTGCCATATGTGAGTTTGTTGTTTTGCTATACCTGCAGATTAAATGAAGGTTTGTGGCTATACACCTTCTCTTGAATAATAATTAGATTAGTTAAGTGTTAACTTTGTGCCAAAAATAGAAAAAGTCAGCAATGTTGTTTATTCCACAAGAATTGTTCTATGAAAAGGAAAATGTTGCAGCTCACCAACTGCTACCACTCTTTCCTCTCTGGAATGTTTTTGAATCTATCATACATCACCTCTCACACAACTTGATCTTGAATATAAGAAGAAATATTAATTATTCTGCATAAAACAAATTCTGACTTCAAACATATACATGCTCCTCTTTATGATTTTGATAAAGTTGGTATGTGAGTATACTAGGGCACAATTTGTATCTCAGCATCGAAGAAAGATGTCCAAATACTAACCCCATGGACATATAGCTGTCTTTGGTTCCAAAACTGTTCAACTTATATTTTGGATGAAGCAACCATGATTCACTTGCAGTCCAGAACAAGTTACTTCACCATTCTGTGCCTCAGTTGCCTCATTTATAAAATAAAGATAATGAGAGTCATCCCCGATGTTTCACATATGGGTGATAGGAAATCATTTTATCTAGGCAGGAGAAGAAAATCACAGAGGGGGAAAGTATGAAATCAAATCAAAGTATTAATCATTCAAGAGATGTTTATTGAACACCATGCTAAATAAGGACTGGGGGGAAGACAAATAGGTTTAAAACATGGCCTCTGCTGTCACAGAATTAGGGAGACAAGACACACACACACACACACACACACACAGATCATAACACAACATGAGGCAGTACGTGGTACCTGCAGTCTAGGCTGTGAGCTCCTCTGCAGCAGGGCCTGCATCCTATCCACCTTCGTACGTGTGGAGTGAGTGAATGAATGAATAAATTATACCAAAAGTGCAGTAGCTGTGCTGAGGAGGAAGATACCATGGTGGGCTCAAAAGTTCGGGAAGCCTTCAAAGTTGAGTTTGAGTCAAACCTGGAAACATGGACAGGATTCAGATAATTAGAGGGGAGGGGAAAAGCTGTTTCTGGTGGAGGTGGCTACGGGGATGAGGGAGAAGACACCTAGTGTGCAGAAACGTGTGGGCAGGGAGTGGTCATGGGTAGGAATAGCCAAGAAGCTTTTGGAAACATTGAGTTTTGGAAACAATGGCTGGAGGGAATGGTTCATCCACTTACTCAGCAAAACGCACTAAGCACTATCCTCTGACAGCTGGGAATACAGTGGTGAAGAAGAAAGACACCAGTCCTTGACCTCATGGAGCCGACCATCAATTGACCATGATGTTTAAATGGGTGTTTACTGACTCCCACAGGCAGAGTACTGGGGAGCAGCAGCGGCGACTGCAGCAGTACAAGCAGCAATTTATCCATGTGCAGCCACAAACCGGGAAGAGGATGCTAATTAAAGTGAAGGTGCTGACCAGAAAGCAGATTGACATTGACATTGAACCCATACACAAGGTAGAGCAAATCAAGGAGTGTGCGGAGGAGAAAGAGGGACTCCACCCACAACAGCAGCGGTTCATCTACAGTGGCAAACAGATGAATGATAAGAAGACAGCAGCTGATTACAAGATCCTAGGTGGTTCAGTCCTTCACGTGATGTTGGCTCTGAGAGGAGAAGGTGGTCTTAGGCAGTGATGGAGCCTCCCTCCATGTTACCTCCTTACCCTGTCACTCATAATGAGGCACCATATATCTTCTCACTTTCTGGGACACCAGAGCTGCTGCCCCCTCCCCTGGATGCCCAATCTTGTGCATCTACTGGTGGGAGACTATGAAGACCCCAGGATGCAGTGTTCCTGGCCCAAAGGGCACTTGCTGGCTATTTGGTTTTAGTTTGCAGTCTTGTGTGCATCCCTGTCTTATGGCTATGTTCCTGGTTGTCAATAAAATATTTCCTGGCAATAGATAAATAAATAAATAAATAAACAAATGGGTGTTTGGAAAAATCATGGGAGATGAAGGTTGGAAAGGTAGGCTGAGGCTGACCATGGAGAGTGAAGGGTTTGGACTTTATCTTGTAAGCAGCAGGGAGCAACTGAAGAGTTGTGAGTAGGAGAGTGACGGGGGAAATGTTGCCTTTGGGATATTAATCTGTCACAGTGGGTTCAGGCAGAAAGGAGCTGAGGCCCGGCAGCTGGATGTCAAGTGTCCCAGGATCAAATCTCAGTAGGAATAAGAAGGAAAGGAGAATATAAGGCAGGGACATCACCCAGGGAGAATCAACAGGACAAGGACCTGATTAGATATGGGAACAAAAAGCATTCTCAGATTTTGAGACTCGAGTATTTATTATAATAATAAATATAATAATAATTTAATCAGTCCTATAAAGCAAGATAAGCAGGCCTTACACTTTAAAAAATTCTTGGAGAACTGTGGCCTAAACCAAAGGTTCAATCCTCTCTTCTCACGGATCTCTAGGTTCCTCCCAAATGTGTCACTGGATGTACTTTTCTAGTTACCTGGGTAGGGAGCATCATACTCTGCTTGGAATATAGGCCACTGCTTAATAAATCTTGTCTTGCCTTCCTCAAAGAGTCAGTGCAAAGACGAGTCAGTGCAAAGACGAGGCAGCTTGTCATGTGATGCAAGTCCTTTAAAGCTTCTCAGATGAATGTTGCTATATTAGGGCCAAGAACTGTTATGCAACAAGCCCTATCTACACCTTTCCCTGATGCCTTCACTTCATAGCGAAGACCACCTGTTGAACTAACAGGTGTCGATGTATTTTTGGAAAATGATCATTTCTAGGGGTGAATTCTCTATTAATCTCATGAGGGCTCAGTTTTGGGATGTGGGAAAAGAATCTTGTAGAAAATGATCCAGTGGCAATTATGATGAAAAGAATGAATGGAAATGACCTGTATATAGATAGAATAATACTAGGATTTAACTGATTTGTAACTGATCAGCAAGGAGCAGCCTTCCCCACTTCCCCCAGTGAGAGCAGGTGCTCTGTCTTGGGCTTCCATAGCCTGCTTTATGTCCCTCACCACATTCTGATGGAAGGCATGTGCTCACATGTCTCTGTCACCACTAGACCACTAGACTGTGAACACTGGAAGGCAGCTGTATTTTATTCATTTTCGGATTGCTAGCACCTGGTACTGAACCTGGACCATAGGAGGTACTCAATAAACATTGACTGAATAAATGAGTGGATGGATGGATGGATGGGTGGTTGGATGGAATATGTATATGCCCTGACTCTGCGTGAATGACAGGGCAGGCCAAGAGATTGCTATTGTTATTTTTTTAATTTAAAATGAAACCACATGAAAATTTAAAACTTTGCTGGGCCAAAGACCCTGGTAAGATGATGAAAAGACAAAGACTGGGAGAAATATTTGCAAATCACATATCTGACAAAGGACTAGTATCCAGAATATATAAAGAACTTTCATAACTTAACAGTAATAAACAATTAGAAAATGGGCAAAAACTTAAACAGATATTTCACTGAAGAGGATGTATAAATAGTATGTGAAAAGATGTTCAATGTCATTAGTTATTAGAGAAATGCAGATTAAAACCACAATGAGATATGACCACATGCCTAACAGAATGACAAAAATAAAAAATAGTGACACCACCAAATGCTGGAAAGAATGAGGAGAAACTGGATCACTCGTAAATGGCTACTGCTAATGTAAAATGATACAGCCACTCTGGAAAATGGTTTGGCAGCACCTTTTAAAACTAAAAATGGACTTACCATACCACCCAGCACTTGGATTCTTGGGCATTTATCCCAGAGAAATGAAAGCTTATTTTCACACAGAGACTTCTACACAAATGTTCATAGCAGTTTATTTTGTTAATAGCCAAAGACTGGAAACTATCCAAATGTCCTTCAATGGGTGAATGGTTAGACAAACTGCGGCACATCCGTACCATGGAATACTACTCAGCAATAAAAAGGAATGAACTAATAGGCTGGCCCATGGCTCACTCAGGAGAGTGCGGTGCTGATAATACCAAGGCCACGGGTTCGGATCCCATATAGGGATGGCCAGTTAGCTCACCGGGTGAGCGTGGTGCTGACAACATCAAATCGAGGGTTAAGATCCCCTTACCGGTCATCTTTAAAAAAAAAAAAAAAAGGAATGAACTATTGATACATACAACAACCTGGATGGATCCCCAAGCCAATCTCAAAAGGATACATATTGCATGATTCCATTTATATGAGAGTACTTCAACAAATTCATGGAAAAAAGGAATTAAAAGATAATATGAATCTTTCCGTGAACTTTTTGAAGACCCCTTGTATAGCATTTATTGAATAACGTAATTGTAGAGATGGAGAGCAGTTTAGTGTAGCTAGAGGTCAGGGATGGGGGGCAGGGAAGGGAAGTCAGTGTGGCTATGTAGGGATAGCCTGAGGGAGCCTCGTGGTGATGACAGAGTTAAGTACAGTTATACATTGCTTAATGCCGGGAATGCATTCTGAGAAATGCATGGTTAGGTGATTTTGTTCTGAGAAATGCATGGTTAAGTGATTGTGTTGTAAGAACATCACAGAGTGCACTTACATGAACCTACATGGTAGAGCCTAACACACACCTAGCCTATGTGCTACAGCCTATTGTTGCGAGCACTTTTGTATAAAAGGGTACTTCAAAAAGTTTGTGGAAAGATTCATATTATCTTTTATTTATATTTTCCACGAACTTTTTGAAGTACCCTTGTATGTGGTCCATCACTGACCCAAACATTGTTGTGTGACACACGACTGCATCTTGATGTGGTGCAAACTACACATGATAAAATTGCATGAAGTCACACACACAATTAAGCATGTAAAACTGTTAAATCTGAATAAGGTCTGTGGATTGTACCTGGGAGCCAGTGGCTGTGGGGGCAGAATCAGGCCTCACCTCTGCTCCTGCCTTCACTGTCACCATTGTGGGACTTGTGCTTCTGGTCTCCCACCTGGCGCTGCTGGGAAAGGACTGGACTGAGGTAAACCCTTCCCCATGCACTGCTGTCTGTGGCCTTCTCTGGCTGCCTGCCTGTATACTTGCAATGCCCTTTGGGAGCCTGAGAGAAACCAGCCAGGCCCCCAAGCACCTTTGTCACTTTTGAGTTCCTCCCCATGTGAAGCCCCTTGGCAGCACTGACAATAGAGTTTGTGCTATATAGGATGTATTAGTCCGTTTCTGTTGCTTATAGCCAAATACACAGAACTGGGTAATTTATAAAGAAAACAAAATTTATTGCTTACAGTTTCTGAGGCTCGGAAGTCCAAAGTCCCAGGAACACATCTGGTGATGGCTTTCTTTGGTGGCAAGTTCAGTGATGGCAGGGTATCACATTGTGAAAATAGTGTAGCAGAGAGAGACTAGCCTCCTCATTCGCTCTCCTTTTAAAGACCTCCAAACCACGTCCATGACCACCATTTTTCATCCATCCATTATGGCATGGTCCTACAATCTAATCACCTTTTCAAGGCCCCACCTTTTAATTACCATAGTTGGATTTCCCACCTTTAACAGTTACAGTGGAGATTAAGTTGTGGGGGGACATTCAATCTAAGGCACAGGGTTTTGCACAAAGCCTTACAAAACAAAAAACACTTGTTACATCCTCTGAAACCAAACTGGTAAAAGATCAGAAATGTTTGATGTTAATATACAGGGTGTCTATAAAATCTGGAAATGCACATGCGATCACTATTTTTTTTTTTTTAAAGGGATCCGAACCCGGGGCCTTGGTGTTATCAGCACCGCACTCTCCCGAGTGAGCCACGGGCCGGCCCACTATTTTTATTTTTGACGATGTCCTTGATGACATTCTATATTTTTGCCCATTTCGAGACCGGATGGACACCCTGTATAGTTAGCAAGGGTTGACTCAATTACAGCATGAATGGAGCTCTTTTCAGTCTTGCTATTTATAGGATCTCTGTGCTTCACCTGATTCCAAGCTACTCAGTTTCAGGACTTCTAAATCATAGATTCATTCACTAGGCAAACATTTTTTAATACCATCTGCGTTTCATGACAGCATTCCAGGCAGGTGGAGGAAAGCAACTCCTGTCGATTATCAGTCTTGCAGTGGGCACTGGCCCTGGACAAATGCTTTGTGTCTCATCAGCTCCTCTAACATGACACGCTTTGTTCTTTTGAGAGGGAGGAATAAGTGAAACTCTGGGATCTCTGGGTTGGCTTGGCAGTTATGTTTCCCTGACTGACTTAATTTGTGTAATTGTTCAACCATGAGTCTACCAGCCCTGTCATAAGAAACAACAACCCACTGAAAACTCACCAAGAAAATGACTGCTCTGTTCAAGTCATTTCCACAGCACAAGAAATCTCAGGCAGTGTGCCCCGAAGGTCTTTCTCTACCAAATTCCTTAAGCCAGTCTCTGAAACAACACCTGCACTGCTCCATGTCTCCAGAAGCACCTGATTCTTAGAGATTATAGAGAAACAGGTAAGAGATTTTAACTAGGAGCAGTGAAACTGTAGAGACAGGAAGCAGTTTTTCCAGTCAGCTATGGAACATTGGCCCAAAGATACTTCTGGGGTTTCAGCAAAGTTGTCCCACCAGAATGTTACAAATAGCTAGTACTACCTTGGTTACTTTACAGGATGAACCTCATTCAAGAGTTCATGGTTGTTATTACTTAGTTCTTTCCCTTAATCGTAATCTCTAGACTTCTAACAAAGAGCCTATGTGGGAGATTTAAGGGGAAACTAATTGAGGTCTAAAAGCTGAGCATGCCTAGGAGATTCTCTATGTTCCCTTGCACTGAGCAGTTTGAGATGGGTCAACACATCCTCACGGGAGTAGATGGTCATTTGGAACTGAAATGTTGGTGTAGTGGATTGAATTATGTCCCCCAAGTTCTATGTATTAGAAACTTAGCCCCCACTGTGACTGTTAAGAGAGTGG